GGGGCTGGGTCAGTTTGTATGGGGAGAGGAGGAGTTTAGATTTGATATCCCACTTTATCACTACCCAAAGGAGTCTCAAAGCGGCTAACATTCTCCTTTCCCTTCCTCCCCCACAACAAACACTCTGTGAGGTGAGTGGGGCTGAGAGACTTCAGAGAAGTGTGACTGGCCCAAGGTCACCCAGCAGCTGCATGTGGAGGAGCGGAGATGCGAACCCGGTTCACCAGATTACGAGTCTACTGCTCTTAACCACTACCCCACACTGGCTCTCCTTAAGGTATTGAGCATATATAGCAAAATGTTAACATACCTTTGATGAAACCTGGTCTCCCTTTTTTCATACATAAGGGAAAAAGAAACTAAAGCTCTTCCCGCTGCCTCACAAACCTGTCCACAGAGAACCTTTACAGACTGCAATGTTTTAAGACCGTGTAAAATGATGCCATGGGCTTGGTGCTATGTTCCTTTCTTTGTTGTGACTGCACTGTATAATAAATATTTTAATTTAAAAACTAAAACAAAAAACGTTATGTGGCTGGTATGATGTTATCACACAGACGTTAACAACTAGCAAATTCTAACAAATCCGATTCTAAGCAGAATCCAGTAAAAATTAGTCATGATTCAAGTCCCATTGGTTCCAATTACAGCTGTGGCCAAATCCCATTGCATTACTCGCAAGGAGAGCAGCATATTCACATGCCTGGAGATCCTTCCTTCAGTATGTATGACAACATTTGTAGTTTAATCAGCCGCAGACAAAAATAATTAGCTGTTTAAGGGGGAGAAAGCAAGAGCATAATAAATTCAAGAGGTTGAGGCTTTTTCTCCCCACGTACAAACTCACAAATACCTTCCAAGCATTACAAAAGTTAAAATGGAGTGGATAATTTAAGCCCTGTGAATCATCTGCTGTTATACAAAAGTACTTCATCAGAGTGTTTTAAGCTTCAGTTAGCGGAGAGACATCTGGCATGCTTGAGGTTAAAGAACCTCATCTGAGGGCAATTTGTTTAGAACAGCATCACTCTCATTGCCCCAGAGCCTCTGCAAAGTGCTGTGGGATCTAAAGGTGAAAACATGGGGCAGGAATTGCTGCTATTACTTGTGGTAACGATTCTTCCATTTGGCAAAGTCATCCATATGTGCAGGAGTGAGATCCCACCCAACACACACACACACCCCACATCCACCTCTCCAGCCAAACCACAGAAAAAATTAATGAGCTGAGAAGGACAGACTGAAGATGCACATTGTTAAGTTGTGGGTGAACATATCAGATGACACAGCGATTCTTCAAAGAGCTCTTGTTTATTCACAGGCCAGAACAGAACTGAACTGAAGGTTTCAGCCAGCCTGCTTATATAGAGCTCCACTACAACGCAACTGTAACCACTTGCTGTAACTATCCAATCACTGAACGTCACTTTCAATCCCTCATTTGCATATGTGGACCTGAGTGAAAACTATCTACAGTATCCCCCTGCTGGCCCAGGGTGAGAACTTCAGTACATAACACACATCAAGCAGGCAGAAAAGACTGTGGGTTTTCTGCACCTCTCCAGCTCCTCACAGGGTGTTATGTACTGAGCTTGGATCCTAGAACAATAGGTAGGCAGGATTCTAGAAGACAACAACCTGATTGGCCTGCAAGAGTGGGCCAATCACGCCCCAGGAGAAAGTTCATCAGCCTATTAGGTCAGTAGGATCCTAGAATGCAACCATCGGTTGGCCTGCAGGAGCAGCCCAATCAGGCTCCACGTGGGAAGCAGAGTCAGCCAATCACGTGGGACCCATTGTATAAAAAATGTTTATAAAGCCTGAGGTTTTTTGGGGAAAGTCAATCACTGTTCCTATGAGCTGAAATAAAGAGCATGAAATTACTACACGACTCTGAGTATATTTCACAGGGGAAACTTCTGACATACACATCACACTTTAAAGCACATGGCTTCCACCAAAAAAAGAATCCTAGGAATTGCAATTTACCCCTTGCACAGCTACAATTCCCACACCCTTAACAAATGACAGTTCCCAAAATTCTTTGGGGAAAGCCATGTGCTTTAAATGTATTAGCAGCTATTAGTCGTGTGAACCTGCAGCAAAAACGTTCTCCCTTATCCTCCTCTCCATGACTTTGTCTAGCCGCCTAAATCTTGATGCAATACATTGGAACAAATGAACGTCAGAAACTGCCTTGCACAGAGTCAAATGAATGGTCCATCTCAGGGGTGCCAACCTGAATAAAATACAGTGGTACCTCGGGTAACAGATGCTTCAGGTTACAAACTCCGCTAACCTAGAAATAGTACCTCAGGTTAAGAACTTTGCTTCTGGATGAGAACAGAAATCGCACAATGGCAGCGGGAGGCCCCATTAGCTAAAGTGGTACCTCAGGTTAAGAACAGTTTCAGGTTAAGAACAGACCTCCAGAACGAATTAAGTTCTTAACCTGAGGTACCACTGTATCTGGGGGAGAAGGGCCCTGGTAAGCCCTGCCCAGCACAATTGATCACATGACGCAGTGCGAGCACAGCATTTGAAGGGCAATGCCAATCAACTTTGCAGGGGGCCGAAGCCCCCTCGGCCTCTAAGAGTTGGCTTCTGTGGTCCATCTAACTCAGTTTTGTCTATACTGACCGGCTCTCCCAGAGCATAAGACACGAGGTAAGCCGAGCAGCAGAGGAAGCCGCTTGGGTGCCTGGGGTGGGGCAAGCCGCCCATAGGGGCGGGGCGCAACGTGGGGCTTCCGGAGTCTACCAGTGTGGTGTAGTGGTTAAGAGAGGTAGTCTCGTAATCTGGGGAACCGGGTTCGCGTCTCTGCTCCTCCACATGCAGCTGCTGGGTGCCTTGGGCTAGTCACACTTCTCTGAAGTCTCTCAGCTCCACTCACCTCACAGAGTGTTTGTTGTGGGGGAGGAAGGGAAAGGAGAATGTTAGCCGCTTTGAGACTCCTTAAAGGGAGTGAAAGGCAGAATATCAAATCCAAACTCTTCTTCTTCTTCTTCTTCTGCCTGCCTCCTCCCACTCAGCCGCCCTACAGCTGGGGGGGAGGCAGCGGGCAGACCGTTTGGGCAGTGCGGAGCCTGCAGGCGCCCAAGCCGCCAGGTCTCTCCCAGGAGAGACGCGTGGCTCGGGCACTCTGAAGGCCCTGCAGTGAGTGCCGCCCAGCATTTTGTCACCCCACTCAGTGGTGACACCCGGGGCACACCGCACCCCTGCCCCCCTTCCTCCACCCCTGGGTAAGCCCAGCCCTGCCTGGAGACATCAGGGATTGAACCAGATGCTCCACCCCCGAACTATGGTCCTTCCCCAATTCCACAGATAGTATAGTGTGAAGGAAGTCTTTCGTTTTGCCTGTTCTGAATCTACAGCCTGTCAAAAGCATGGAAGTTCCCCATCCCATGCACAATCGCAATAAAATATGGAGTCCACAGGATTACAGGAACTAAGTTGTGACTGTCTTATGCTACCCACCCTCCAGTTAGTTTAAACGTTGTGCCGGACTTCCGGGGAGGCGCCTCCGGCAATGGCTGGATTCCTCTGATTGGGAGGAATCAGCCCTGTGGAAATCTGGTTCTGGCCGCCATGGCAAAGGCGGAGACCCGTTAAAAATCACAGGCGGGAGAAGCCTGTGAGCATGGGTTTCGGCGGGCACCTTTTGCGCCTCCCCCACTCGCGGGGAAACCCGATTTCGGGGATCCGGAGCGACGTGGGGTGAGCGGCGCGGTGCTTCGAATCATCTGCTTCTTCCACGGAGTGAAGCCGCAAAGCTGTTGTCGGAGAGCGCTGACTTTTTCCTATGGAAAGTAACTACCCGTGAGTAGAGCTTAATCGGGAAAATTGGATTTTTAAAAACGTCGAATTTGGCATCGAAACGGGGAAGGTTCAATACAGGAAGTCCGCCTTCCCCTTTTGTAAATAGACTGAAGCAATTGAGGCTGCAAGCTGAAGTCTTGGAAAGCCTTTTGTAAAGACTAAATTTCCATAAGTAAAGAATATAATCCCCCCCTTGGAGGCAGGAGAAGGGGGGGGGGAGTTGTGGACTGAATTTGCCTGCGGAAGAGACCAAGAGAGGCAAAATACCGCCGCTCGGACCCTAGGAACGGGCTGCTAGTAGGTCCGACGTTTGGTGGGATGTTTATTGACAGCGTTTGGATCGTTCATTGACAGCTAGCATAAGAGAAGATACATTGTTTCTACTGTCTCCAGCAGTGAAAGTAACTTTGAAATTAGTTTTGGGTCGTTTCAACTGTGCCTATAAGAGGATATTATGTATCAATACAAATAGAAACTGTTTCCCTCTAGTGGAAGTTCTTGAAACTGGCGGCTACATAAGATCTGGGCTGGGACATTTCCAGCGGTAAGATAACACCAGTGAGACTGTGAGATTGACCTTGAATCTATTGAGTGTTATGGCAGATGTGAAAGACAGAATGTCTCCAGAAGAGGCCTTGGCGGTTGTATTAGTGAAAATAAATGACTCGCTGGAACAACTTCACAAGAAAATGGACGTGATAAATATGAAATTGGATGTTGCAAATATTAAAACTGACTTAATGGTAGAAAGTTTAAATAACCTGGGACAAAAGGTGAATACTAATATAGAAACCACCCAGAAATTGATACAGGAATCTATCCTGATACGGCAAACTGCGGATGAAGTTAAGGAGAAAACCCTTGCTGCTGAAGTTAAAGTAATTCAACTGGAGAGAGTCCCATCCATTCAAGGACAACTTTATGAATTCAAGCTGACACTGGTTATGACTGAACTTAAAGAGAAACAGATGAAATTGAGGATCAGAGCCCTACCCGAGGAAAATGTGAATTTATTCAAGGGCAATTGTGAAGGACGTTGGCTTGAAGAGAAGGGGGATTTGGAAACAGGGTTAAATTGGAAGTGGTTATTGTTGGGCCGAGTTGTTGTGGTGGTGGGGAGGAGGGTTGCTGTTTGTTTTGTTTTATTTGTCTTATGTGTTAGTTTTGTTTTGTTTTTTTAAAAAAAATATTTATTCAAATTTTAAGATTACAAAAAAAAGAAAAAATAAAGCAAGAAAAACCAATCACATACATCTTACAAAAGAGACACACCATACAAGAAAAAAAATACACAAGACAAAAAATCACAATAAAAAATAACAAAAGAAAAATTCAATTTAAACAAACCGTTTTCCCATTTACTTATTTCCGTGACTTCCTCTCACTTCTCTGCTTTGTATTCTAATTCAAATTGTATCTCCAGCAAATCCTTCTAACCTTCTTTTCATTTGCTTATTTTAACATTTTAACATTCAAAAATATTTAATTCTCCTCTATCTTTTAATTTACACTTCATATTTACTTAATTCCATTATACTCTGTCTGCCAATACGGTCTAATATTTCTTCTCCAACCTTTCCTAACATTCTTTTATGTTACAGTGATTCTGAAGATATGTTTTAAACTTTTTCCAATCTTCTTCCATCGACCCTTCTTCTTGATCTCGAATTCTTCCGGTCATCTCAGCCAGTTCCATATAGTCTATCACTTTTCTCTGCCATTCTTCTCGGGTAGGCAATTCTTGTGTCTTCCAATATTTCCCAATAAGTATTCTTGCTGCTGCTGTCGCATACATGAAAAAAGTTCTATCTTCCCTTCGCACCAATTGACCGACCATGCCCAAGAGGAAGGCCTCTGGTTTCTTTAAAAAAGTATATTTCAATACCTTTTTTAATTCATTATATATCATTTCCCAGAATGCCTTGATCTTTGGGCACGTCCACCAAAGGTGAAAGAAAGTACCTTCGTTTTCTTTACATTTCCAACATTTATTATCAGGCAAATGATAAATTTTTGCTAGCTTGACTGGGGTTAAGTACCACCTGTAAATCATTTTCATTATGTTTTCTCTTAAAGCATTGCAAGCCGTAAATTTCATACCTGTGGTCCATAACCGTTCCCAGTCAGCAAACATAATGTTATGCCCAACATCTTGCGCCCATTTAATCATAACAGATTTAACCATTTCATCCTGTGTATTCCATTTCAACAGCAGATTATACATTCTTGACAAATTTTTAGTTTTAGGTTCTAACAATTCCGTTTCCAGTTTAGATTTTTCCTCCTGGAAACCAATCTTTTTGTCTAAGTTAAAAACCTCCCTTATTTGATAATAATGCAACCAATCTCGAACTTTGGTTTTTAATTTGTCAAAACTCTGCAATTTTAATTTATCTCCAACTTGTTCTAAAATTTCACAATATTTTGGCCAGTTTGTCTCCATATTAGTTTTTTTCAATGCCTTTGCCTCCATTGGTGACAGCCACCTTGGTGTTTTACTTTCCAACAAATCCTTGTATCTCACCCAAACATTAAACAATGCTTTCCTGACAATATGGTTCTTAAAGGCCTTATGCGCTTTAACTTTATCATACCATAAATATGCATGCCATCCAAAAACGTTATCAAAACCTTCTAAATCCAAAATGTCCACATTTTCAAGAAGTAGCCAATCTTTCAGCCAGCAAAAGGCGGCTGATTCAGAGTAAAGTTTAAGATCTGGCAGGGCAAATCCCCTCTTTCCTTTGCATCTGTTAATATCTTAAATTTTATTCTAGGTTTTTGCCCTGCCAGATAAATTTGGAAATGTCTCTTTGCCACCTCTTGAAACAGTCCATTTTGTCCACAATTTGTAATGTTTGAAACAAGAACAACATTCTAGGCAGTACATTCATCTTTATCGCAGCAATTCGGCCAAGCAATGATAACTTCAATTTTGACCATATTTCTAGATCCTTCTTCACCTCTGACCAACATTTTTCATAATTATCTTTAAACAAATTCACATTTTTAGCAGTCATGTTCACCCCTAAATATTTCACTTTGTTAACAATTGTTAATCCTGTCTCTTTCTGGAACCTCTCCTTCTCTATCTCTGTAAGATTTTTCTCTAATACCTTGGTTTTCATCTTGTTTAATTTAAAACCAGCTACTTGACCAAATTCTTGTATTAATTGTAACACCCTTTTTGTGCTAGCTTCTGGCTCCTGTACTGTCAAAACTAAATCATCAGCAAAAGCTTTCAATTTATACTGTTTAGCTCCGAGTTGTATACCTTTAACCAATTGGTCTTTTCTAATCATATTGAGCAAAACCTCAAGGACCGATATAAAAAGCAATGGGGAGATTGGGCAACCCTGTCTTGTTCCTTTCTCTATCTTAAATTCTTCAGTAACTACATTGTTCACAATAAGCTTAGCTTTTTGTTCCGAATAAATTGCACTTATACCATTTTCGAAACTTTGGCCTACCCCCATCCCCTGCAAATTTTTCTTCATAAAACTCCAAGAAATATTATCAAACGCTTTCTCTGCATCCACAAATATTAAAACAGCTTTAGTATTAATATTAACTTGCAATTTTTCCAAAATGTTAATAATGTTCCTAGTGTTGTCTGACAAATGTCTTCCAGGCAGAAAACCCGCCTGGTCTTTATGAATCTCTTTTACCAATACATTTTTAATCTCTTAGCCATAATTTCAGCAAAAATTTTGTAATCCACATTTAACAGGGATATGGGACGGTAGTTCTTCAACTGTGTCTTCTCCCCTCGGTTTTTGGTATAAGTGTAATGTACGCTTCTTTCCACGACTCGGGTGCTTTTCCTCCCCGTAGTATTTCATTACAAAGTTCTTTCAACGGTTGCAATAACCATTCTTTCAAAGTTTTGTAATACTTTGCAGTTAGTCCATCCGGCCCTGGGGATTTGCCCAATTTCATATTCAGAATGGCTCCTTCCACTTCTTGATCAGATATAGTCGAATTTAATATTGATTTACTGTCTTGAGATATTTTTTGTAATCCATTATTTTCCAAAAATCGGTCAATGTCTAAATCTTTCTGAGTCTCCTGCGTGTATAGCTGTTTAAAATAGTTCTGAAAGCACTTCCGAATCTCTCCAGGATTCTGTATATTCTTTCCTTCTACAACCAAGTTCGTGATTGTATTCAGCTTTTGTCTTTTCTTCATTTGCCAGGCCAGTAACTTCCCACATTTATTTGCCGATTCGAAGGTCTTTTGTTTCATCTGTTTAATCTTCCATTCTATCTCCTGGTTCATCAATTTCATATACTGTACTTGGTATAGCTTTATTTCTTTTAAAATCTCCTGTGAGTTCGGTTTCGCTCTCAGTCTTTTTCTCCATCCTTTATTTTCTCCAAGATTTTTTCTCTCTTCTCATTTTGGTATCTTTTCCTAATTGCATTTTGTTGTATCAGAAATCCTCTCATCACCGCTTTACTAGCATCCCAAATCACTCTTTTTTCTGTCGTAGTATTCAAATTTATTTCAAAATAATCTCTCAAATTTTTTTGAGCCTTTTTAACAATTTCCTCATTCCTAAATAAGGAGTCATTCATCCTCCATCTAAAGGCCCCAATTGGCGTTAATGTCATTTCAATCTTTACTGGGTTGTGGTCGGAGCAGATTTTCGGACAAATCACTGCTTTTTTAATTTTAGGAGCCAGTCCTCTAGTTATCCAAATTTGGTCTATTCTTGTCCATGTCATATTTGCTTCAGAGAAGAAGGTTCCTTCTCTTTCCAAGGGGTTCTTTGTTCGCCAAATATCCACAAGATCCATATTGTCAGTCATTTCAAAGAATGTCTTTGGTAGTCTTCCATCTTTTGTCACTGTTTGTCTTTGGGCCTTGTCCATATTTGTAGACACTACTCCATTCATGTCTCCCATCAAAATAATATTGTAATCCAAATAGTCCAAAAGAGTTTCATGCAATTTCTTGAAGAATTCTGATTTTCCCTCATTTGGTGCATATACACCTAATATCAAGAATTTCTGTCCTTGGAATTGAATTTCAATTGCTATATATCTTCCTTGATCATCTTTAAATATGAATTTTGGTGACAGGCTTTCCTTCGCATAAAGTACTACCCCTCTTTTTTAACATTGTCCGATGAAATAAATTCCTCTCCCAATCTTTTATTTATCAAAATTTTCCGATGCAGCAATGTCACATGAGTCTCTTGTAAACAGATCAAGTCCAAATGTTCTTTTTCAATGTATGAAATACTCTTCCCCTTTTAGCCGACGAATTTAGACCATTAATGTTCCAGCTTAAAATTTGTAGTGTCATTTTGTAGCTACTCTCCTTCTCCTCCAACAGCCCCAAGAAGATTGTCTATGTCTGTCGGTGGCGTTGGTTTCCCTTTTTTTTCCTGGTTCTTGTCCGGTATCGCAATGTCTTTTCCCAATCCTTTCAGTAGATCTTCTTCATATGCACTCAGGAACTTGTTCTTTTCCTCCACTGATCTGATCTTGGTCTTTCTTCCCTTGAAGCTAAAGGATAGGCCTTGGGGAAATTCCCACCTGAAAAGAATTTTATTTTTTCTCAACAAGTCCACCAAGTCTCCAAAATCCTTTCTCAAATCAAGAAGATGTTTTGGTATATCTTTAAAAATTTCAACTTTTGATTGTATAATTGTCAAGGGTTTTTCGTAATGTAAACCCAAAATTTTGTCCCTTTCTTCCTTAGATCGAAGAGTAATCAAGCAGTCCCTTATTTTAATCTTTCTTCCTCCTTTCCCCAATCGAAAGGCTCTCACGATCTTAAAATCCTCTTGTTTCAATTCCGATTTCCAAAAGTCCAGAAATTCTTGTGTCAAAAAGTCTGTCAAAGTACCTTTCTCCAACTCAGGAACAGCTCTGATTCTGAGATTCGTTTGTTTGTCTCTGAGGTCTATCATAGATAACGTTAGCTTATGTTCTGCAATCTCTTTCTGTATATCTGGTACTTTTTCAGTTTCCAACTGCCCCAATTTAAACTCTACAGCAGCAGTTTTTTCCTGTATTGACTTTGAGTCTTGCAACAATTTCTGGATAGATTCCGTATTGCTGTTTACTTTTTTCTCCAAGTTGCCTAATGTTTCTGTATTTAGGTCAATTTTCCTGTTTGCAGTATCCACTTTCTGACTGGTCTCTTCCACCTTCCTGTTCGTCTCTCCCACTTTTGTAGATAGCTGCTGTATTGAATCATTAATCTTAGATAGAGCACTAGCTAGAAATTCCTCAGACATTCCACCAATCTTAGATTGTGTTGCCGATGTAGGCAGGCCAGCAGATGATTGCCTTCTATGTGTCCAAGGTTTCCCTGATCTCAAGGTTGACTGGTCCTTAAAACCATCAGCCATAACAGAGTGAAGGTCAGGTTACTTTCCCACGTCCACTCTTCCTGTTTATACTTGGAAAATTCCTTTCCTTTCCTGCAGTTACAGAAAGTCCCACTAGATGGACACTGTTGCCACTTAACAAGTTACTGTCTTTTAACACGACAAGGGAAAGATACTAAGTAAAAGGAAAAAAAAGAGTCCAAAGTAAAAGCCACAGTATAACTTTTCAATCTTTTCCAGTCTTTTCTCAGTAAAATTGGCCACTATGTATCTCCTTTGCAGCCTGCAGACTGCTTTAGCGATTCTGACAGCTTTGACAGCTGAGTGACAGATCACTCATTTAATCTTTCAATTTAAAGAGTCCTATAAAATCAAGAGTCTTTCCCTTAACTCTCCTAAGGGTAGATCCCTCCAAAGTCCTCAGGTTAGAAGATTACACTTATTTCAATTCAACTCTTCACGTTTAGCTCCAAATCTCTTTGCTTTGTTCTTTGTACAATGCAGTGAAGCCGACTTCCTGTTTAAGCTTCCACCGCGGTAGCCAATTCAGCCATTTTTAAAGGCTTTAAACTTTTCCGCTTTTTGCCAAAGTTCCAAATTAGTCCAAATTCTACTCTTTTTATCCAATTCCTCTACTCACGGTTAGTTTTTAAGTCCGAATTTCCCAGGAATAAGTCAGCGCTCTCCAGCAACGGCAACGCGGCTTCACTCAGCGGGAGCAGCGATCCGCTCGCAGCACCGCGCTTCTCCCCCCGCTCCCTTCCGAAGCCCCAAAAAGGCTTCTTTTCAGGTTGGGGGGGGCGCTTCAAGGTGCCCGCCGAGCCTCCACGTTCGCAGGCGTCCGCGCCTGCGATTTCTGAGGGTCCCCGCTTCGCCGGAGCGCACAGGACCCGATCTCCCGCCGAGCTACCCCCTCCGAACTTCAAAGGAGGTCAGCCATTGCTGCTGGCACCAACCGGAGGTCTTATGTGTTAGTTTTGTAGTGTTTTTGTATTGTATTGTGTTGTTTTTCGTTTGTTTTTTTGTTTTTTGTTTTTTTTGCTTTTTTTGTAGTGTTTAAATTTAAATTTTTGGAAACTCAATAAATATTATTTAAAAAATAAATAAATAAATAAACATTGTGCCGTCAAGAACTGCAGGCTAAAGCAGGCTTAGCGTTAGTGTTTGCGAATGTAAACTGCAGTTCCGATCTCCATATGAGAAAGAATTTTCTTGATTATTAAGAACAAAGGGGCATTTTTTTCTATCTGAACAAAGCTGCAATGCAGCCCTGCTTTTTAAAATCTGAAATTAATTTTTTGCATAGAACT